CCTTAGACAAAGGACAGCTAAATTGGCTTACCTGGTCGGGTACGGCTGTTACGGCACGATTTCTCACCCCGACACGATTTCTCAATAACATACGGCCTTGGCCATAGAGATTAAGAACAAGTTCATCTGAACTTTTGTAAGAAATTATTAAAAGTAAAAGAGTCATCAAATGATAATATGATATGTTCTGAATTGGGACGCTTTCCGTTAGAGGTTATCAGAAAATTTAGAAGGATAAAATATTGGTTTAAAATTTTACATTGTGAAAATTGTATTGTCACCAATAGTTATGATTTTCTAATGCTGGTGTGGTGGTTTCAAGATTTGTATTAACACTCAGACACATAATATGTGTTACATGAGGAAATAAAGTTGCAGAGGTGGAAAATGAAGTACAATATACATATTTGTAGAACTGAAAGAATGGACAGTTCAATTTATAGCCGATACGGTATAGTAACATGTTGTGACATACAATGGAAATTACAAAGCAAACATAAATAAACATACATTTAATTCACAAGTTATCTAACTATTAACAGTTATACATATGCATCATTCACAAAAGAGGAGCCGTTTTGATTAGGAAAATAGATAAACTTGTCAGAACTCGTTGATTGCATAATGATAAAAGACCTTTAAACTTGTAAATATTTGGGTTTGTACAATATATTTGTTACGTAAGGTGGATATAGTTATATTATTGCATTCAAATGGATAATGAAATTCATCCCCGACACTTACCGCGCACAAATTACATAGTCGATTATCTCGGGGTATGTTATACCATCTACCTGTTTCAATCGGAAACTTTAAATTCGAAGTGCGCAGTTTTGTTATTGGTGTTCTGATATGTTCTGGCAAATTTAATAAATATCTTTCTAGACTAAATTCCGTTTTAAATGTACTGCCCACTAGATGAGCTAGTAATGTCATCGAACCATTGCCGTACAAAGTGATCAATAAGCCTTTGTTTTAAAATGCATTTGTAAAATCCATCAGGCGTGTGTAATTTATTATCAAGTATGTAAGAAAAACCCGTTTCGTTAAAGATACATGTACCTTTTATATGGTTAATCCATTTGAACGGAAGAGTATCATTGTTTTGCATATGTAAAGCCAGTCGTAGTAATATACTGCTGAGTTTGTTTTCATTACTAATTATTCTATTCCAAAAACCTAACATTCTTAGTTTAACATTTATTTCCAAGTTTTCAAGTTTTATTTTTACACTCACGCCACACATATACGTGCGTAACAAGAGGTCACATAATACATAATATACATTGATGGACATAATACTCACATAATATGACACATGATACAATTCATACAATAACAACCCATTTCAATAATTCATTTAGCTAAATTCTTTTAGATATTAAGTAGCTTCATTACTCTTTGTATAAATGTACTTACTTTTGTTAAGAGTACAGTGTTACAAATTGAGAACATTCCTTTCATTTTGATATAAGTTGGGTTGACATAATAATAATTTGGTACATAAAGTTGTCTAAGAGCTACAACAGATACATTAGTACATTGGTATAAGTAGTGGTATTCGTCCCCAACACAGTTATTACATAGGGGACATAACCTTTCCTCGCGTGGGACTCCATTCCATCTTCCTGTTTCTATAGGAAATTTTATATTTGATGTTCTAAATTTACATATTACTTTTCGTTCATTACGATTTAGCTTTAAAAGATATGGTTCAATATTAAACTGAAATTTGAATAAGGAGTAAACTTGCCCTCGCGAGGAGGTTTCAACATCATGAAACCAACTTTGAATGAATTGATCGCATAATCTCTGCTTAATGATATTTTTCAAGCATTGTCTATTAATTGTACATGATATTTGGAAAGTCCATAAATTATTAAATCCAGTATTGTTTAAGATATCTCGTATATACGTTAACCATTTAAAACTTAATAAAGAATTCTGGTGCAAATTGTACATTAACTTATACATTACACTAGATAATTTCGATCCACCCGTTATAAGCTTATGCCAGAACATAACCATTCTAACACTGATTTCAATTTCTAGGGGATACCTTCCTAACTCACCATATACCATATAATTTGGGGTGCTCTTCCGAATGTTAAGAATTTCCTTACAAAACTGTAAGTGTATTTTTTCGATACTTTTTGTATTTTCATAGCCCCAGATTTCACATCCATATAATAAAATTGGTGACACAAGTGCATCAAATAATTTCAGTTGAAGATCTACAGGAATGGAAATATTTCTAATCTTAATATACAATGCATATAAAGCTTTTTTTGCTTGCTCTGTTAGTTTACTTTTGGCTTTTGTAAAAACACCATTGTAGTTTAATAGTATTCCAAGATATGTGTACGAATCTTGTATTTCTAAAATCTCATTATTAAACGTAAATTGATGGTCTCTTTTACTTTTTCTTTTTTCAAAAGTCAAAACTTTAGTTTTTTGGGTATTAACTGTTAATTTCCATATATTACAATAATTTTGGAATTCATTCAATGCGTTTTGTAGGCCATCTGGTGTTTCTGACAAAAGCACTGTATCATCAGCATATAATATAATAAACAATTTTAAGTACAAACCTAAATTTTGATCACTAAGAGCATACACTTCATTCAAACAAGAAACATTACGTTGATTGAGGAAATCCTCTAAATCGTTAAGAAAGAGGGAAAACAAAAATGGCGATAAGTTTTCTCCTTGTTTTACCCCGACATTGCACATGAAAAAGTCGGATGGCACACGACCTAGCTCGCCATAAATCATAAAATGAGGCAATGTAGATCTCACTTTAAGAATTCTTTTATAAAACTTAAGATGAATCTGTTCGATAATTTTCAGGTTTTCGAATCCCCTTACATCCGATCCATATAGTAGAATCGTTTTCACTAAAGAATCAAATAATTTTAATTGTAAATTTAAAGGAAGAGAAAGGTTCCTGATTTTTTTGTAAATAGCAAATATTGACTTTTGGGCCTGGTTGATCAATCTGCGTCTTGCTTTTACAAAATTGCCATTGTAATTAAATGTTATTCCTGAGTATTCATGGCTATAGAGGCTGGAAGGTATAGAAATGTGCCTCAGGAGCAACGACATTGTAGAGAATGTAACTCCACTGATGTAAAAGATGAATACGATTTTTTATTGATCTGCAGTAAATTCAAAAATCTTAGAGAACGGTTTATTAAGAAATTTTATTGGAAAAATCCCTGTCTTTAAAGCTATTCAATTGTGAAGTGTCCAAAATTGTAAAGCGTTATGTATGCTAAAAAAATATATGTTTGAAGCAAACAAATTAAGAAACCCTTATTTTTTTCACATGTCAATATCCACTGTATTTATATCAGAGAATCGTGTATATATATTATGCACGGATTCTAAGGCCTAACGTATGAATAAAAACTTGAAACTTGAATCGTGGGGGCAATTAAACGGACATCGGTGCCGAGTTCTGTATTATAATACGTATAGTAATACGTTCTGACTTGCTATTTTAACTTCTGTTTATGACTTGATCAATATAAATTGTATCGATTATGATTTTTTTATGAGTTTTAGTGTCTCATAAGCCAACCAATAATGGCTGGGTATTGATCGCTTTTTACTTTGTACATTTTATAATTGTGATTTGTATTTTACTGTCGATCAATGCGTGACACTTTAATAAACTATTATTTATTAATTATTTATCATTGCTATAAATGATAGATGTCACTCAAACTAATTACTTAATTGTTATCGTGTAAATGTACTTAACAACATGCTTATATTTGTGATATCAGTTAATTAAGACCTAGGTCTCGGACTGTATGGGTGTGGTTTTGGATACTCTAGAAATCACCCATCGATCAAGAGAAAGTTATTCTAATAAATTTATACTTAGACCATATTCATTATCTCCAAAACTTTTACTTTTCAAATTGTATAACAACACCCTACACAATTGTTGTGTTAATACAATGTATCAACATTATCCTGATGTATTGTATTGTAAGATGGACGTCACACACAATGTTTAATCTCAGGTTTTCTCTATATCCCATAAAACCCATAAAACATGTAAAATTACTCTGAACACCTTAGTTTAGGTCCACATATAGCTGTAACAAATGTTCAGGTCCCTGTGATCAGATACTGTAATTGAACGTTACAATTTGGTTATTGATATAGTATGCCAAGCATGAATCACACTACATCTAATATCGTGCTGAGTCACCTTAAAATCTTTAGACATGTTTCAATTTTTGACTATCTGTGCGAGTAACTCCCCTTTATGGTCACACGTCAATTTGAAATTATTTCAAAATCGATATGGCGTACTTTGATTGAAATAACGAAACACATCCGAGAATAAAATTGTATAAAATTGTTTAATGCAGAACGTGGCGTACACAGATCTTTTATGAGCTAGGTTATGACAAGATACCCAAAATCATTTGTTTTGAAATAAATATGAAACAATGTGCGTAGAAATAAATTTTGGAAAACAATATCTATTTTCCACATTTGTTTATTGATATCAAGATATCTAGATTGTGTATGACCAGTCAGATGCCGACCTCCGTAAACATTACAACAGACATGAATACTTACAGGATCAGGGCGTTTCAATCACTATTGACTTGTAAGATATGCATAGTTCATTGCTATAGTGACTCGCGTTGATCGAAAAACATTTTGGTTCAACTGACAATTAAGTGTTTGTGATAAAGAAGATAATTTGGACATAATGCTATAGTATGTTACAGAACGACAGAACTTTTCTTGCTGTGCACTAACAAGCTTGTTCAGTGAATATTCCGGGATGTACGTGGCCAATCAAACACGTCTACTGTATTGACCCTGTACCAGCTTACTGTGTCAAACAAATGTATCTATATATATTTGCACTCTATCGTCTAGTGTAGGTATAACAACTGTATAATAATGGAACTTCCTTTATGAATTAGTAACGTCTTTATATGTGTATTAAAACAACAAAAAGACGATATGTTTATATGAAAACAACAGATTTATTGTACAGGGTCTTATAAACAGTGGCAAACAACGGAAACTACTGAATGATGCTAGCAAAGTCAAACAACAGAACAACATGTAAATAATGAAATGAAATCGGCAATCCAAGGTTATGTATTATTACACAACTCGACGACGTATATCATTACGAAACGAAATAAAAGCGAAAGAGAATTTAACATAACCTTGAATTTGCCAACATGCACATTAAAGTGACGTAATTTTGATATGGCTACTGTGAATCTGCGAACCGACAGTGTTCGAGGCGGTTCACGTGCGTAGATAGTAATGACGTCATGCCAAACCACTCCTCTTTTCCTTTGTAAAAAAGAGGAGGTTATCAACATCGCCACGAGAAAAATAATTACTGAGTGCGCATGAACTCATTCAGTGAGGGTCATATTATACTGTTCAAGAGTGTGATACTATTTGCCTTATAAGAATTTTCGTTGCGAAAAAGTGCACGTGTTTGGAACAATTTTTTAACATTACCGTTACTTAATCTTTTTCATGTTATAAGTCAGCGTCTCGTTCAAGGTAGCCTGTCTAATCCGAACGTTGCAAAATCCGGAAAATTGCGCAACCAGACAGTCACAATCTACAGCCCTACGTAAACTTGTGAAGATGTGTAAACTTCAGCATGATCTGAAGAATGAGATTTGATCCTGAAGTCTTCGGCTTAGACAGGCTTACCCGCATATTACAGACAATGCCAAAACATGCAGCAAACGATCGACTTGTTTTATAATTGGACTGACCGGACAGATACAAGGTCAAGGTCCGGAAACAATTGTTCACAATAGTGCACGCATCACTGGACAACGTTAATGATAAAATTGGACCAGTAAGTCGAAAATAACTCGAAATGATTGTAACGAAAACCATTTAATCAAACAAAGAGATGTTTGCCTAGTCAGGTGATTTGATACTACTTTATAAACATGGTAGTTTCCCCATGCATACGAAAACAAAGTAGTCATCTCATCACAAGCTCACATTTGTTGACACTAAATTCCGGTACTTTTACATATAAAATCTACATTTTAAACGCCATATTTTGGAAATCTTAACTGCGAAACGAAAATTGAAGATTTTATAACCAAAAATGCGTTCACATGTCAAAATTGTGTCAGATATGTAAGTAAAACAGCGCTTATTTTTCTGTAAGTACTAAAACACTGGCACATTAATAATTGCAATAAATCGTTTGTACATGTACATTGTCAATCAGACCCGTGTATTTTGATAATCATAGATTGGAAGGTGTTGATGACCTCGTCATCAAGTCTCTAGAGGTCACTCTTACACAAAAAGTCATCAGCTAAATAGTAAACTATTTTTTTACTGATCGACCATCAACACCTTTCCCCGATGAGAAATATGTTCAATATCTTTATACATACATAATGTAATATCAATCACTGCCATTTCGTTGTCTTTTCACATTTCTAAGAAATGTTTGTCGTTATAAACCTCTTATTGGAATGCAGCGTTTCTTTCTTCAAAACTTTCAAAAACTTAAAAATGCAAAATCAAAAATGAATATCTCCCTTCGAATAATAACGCTTCACTTATTTGATGACGTAATGTACACTTATCCCATGGCTGTGCTACACCTTATGACAGAGTTTGTGACAGAGTTACGCCCAGACATCTGAACATTTTGCAAGGATTTTTTGAGTTCCGAGGACACATGACCTCCAGATTTTCTGCCATTTTCTTGTAATTGTGCAAATGAGCCAAACATGGCGGTGTCAAGGTCACTTCTAAGACGATCGAGTTCAAGTTGTAAGTTTTCGGTGTCATATCCGGTTTCGGTCAATGACACGTCACCGTCGTCTTCTGGAATATAGATACTAGAATAGTCAGACCACTCCGTGCGAGATTTAGCATACTCCGCTCTTGACCTTGTTAAGTCGGCCTGTGACCTAGACCTCGTTTTGAGTTCCTCGACGATTTTGTCATTTACATCATTCAAAGCGTCTCGGATAGCAGTTTCCGCTTTGTTGTCTCCTGATAGCAAACAAAATATACATGAAATTATCACTTTTTAATCGCTATTTCATTAAATGCCATATTTTGTTTTTAATTATTATAATTTTGTATAGCTATCTGTAGTGTTTTCCGTATTGCTGTTTGAAGGTTTCCATGGTATCAACACACACGTGATAAATCGACAAGAGAGAAACTAAAGATATTTTAAATAAGGACATATACAAAAATGATCGGAAGCCTTCAGAATTATAGCATCATACAGTGTATAAAAAGTTATCTTGTATTGCGTTACCTTGCATTCTAGCCTGATCCATCGCTCTTTCGAAAGTGTTGAAGGCCGCATGGTACTGACGCAGCTTAACTGTAAAACAGAGAAACAATAATGACCATAAACAGTGAGACATGACATTACATAAACTGGCAGTATAGCATGTTACACGAAAATTAGAATACATAATTTTTCTGACTTAGTATGTATTTCAGAGTGCCACTGGCTTAGGTTTCTCTTGAGTGATTCGGAAAATGATATGCACAATCACATTTTGGTGAGGTCTTACAAGGCCTTTAGATTCCGACTGTTTATGACTTGTTATGTTTTCAGCAGTGTGTTTCGCTTTTCGTTTTCTTTACCTTCAGCGACCCCTAGGAGAACTGAACTCTGAAGCTGGTAGTTCCAGTCGAGTGCCTCTTCAGCCGCCTCAACGGAACGACGCGCCGCCTCTCGGGCGTACTCGTACTGGCCAAGTACCAGGAAACAGTTCCCGAGCTCGTGGTACAACCATGCGGACTCAACACGGGTTGTACAAAGCTGTATCTTCCTGGAAAATCTGTGAGCGGAACCAGAAATATAAACACATTTGCACGGACGTATTATAATTAGGAAAGCTACAAAGCGTTACTACGAGTTATATTTAGAATATCAAGTTTGAAAAGCAAGGGAACCGTATTCTGAACAAAAAAATGGAATGTTAAGCACGGACAATGTCTAAGCACATATGAGTGTAATGTCATTTAGAAAGAGAGAACTAATAACAATATGTTATGTTATACTGAAGTAGCAATTGGTTACAATAATGACATTTATTATGAATACTTTCTATAATGCTGGCTCTACTATAAATTATATGTATATATTTGACGCTGAAAACGATATTCATGATTGGTTAACACTAGTATTGTGATATTCAATACACCTCGTATTAAGTTATACCATCGTTATATATTTCCCCGTAATTATTAAGTAAGGATTTTACAATAGATACAGACTGATTTAGTTTCGATTGAGTACTTACACATCTAGAGCCTTCTGGTGCTTGCTTTGGAACACGTAAATTCTCCCGAGATTTCCTAGAGCACGTGATATGGCCTCAGAATCGTTACTGAAAGTACAAGTTCAATATTATGATTTTACCCGCACTATAACGTGTAAATAAGTAAATTCTGTACACTACAACAAACATTCCCATGTTTTCAGGTCTTTATCCATGAACTAACCTAAACGATGCTGTTAAACATCGATATGATGTCCTACGTTCAATTTACCATCTCGTTTACCGCCAGCGTATTTCATGTTTTCTTAACCACTCGTTTACATACCGAACCCTTTATAACGCCAACATGGAACATTTGTATCAGTATAACAAGGTTTTCCTTTACATGTTCAGCAGTTATCTCATGGTTTACAGTATATTATGGTAGCTTACTTCCGTTCGCCGATGTCGAGATCTCGCTTGTGGTATTCGAGACCAGTGACGTAATCCCTCATTTCGATGGCGGCGTTTCCTATGTAGGAGTAAAGCTTGGCAGTGAGAGACATTACGTTCGGAATTTCCTCCATATTGTAGCTGTTCATAGTGTTCAAACAAGATTCGGCTTTCCTGGCGCATTCGGAATATTTTCCTTCTACGTAGGCTGTAATGATAAAGTGATGAAACTTCAGTGCATTGTACATGTAATCGATGAACTTATTATTATTATACTTCACTTTTAACAGTGTTGAAATATGTACAACAAATGATATCATGATGCCAATAAACTTTTTTTCTGATTGAAAAATCTAAAGAAACATTGCAGCAATTCATTTGCATTTTGGAAAACTTTTTCCGTGATGCTAATCTTCATTTGAATATCTGGAAACCTGGAATGACAAATTTTCCGACACTTACCGAATTCGACATCCTCCATGACTTTATTGATATACGAAATGATTGGTTCTCTTCTGATGCGACGTCGACCCCGATTGTATTTTGACATGTCCGTATTAACATAAGGGAGTTTGAGGGTATTTGTCGGAGTCATAGTTTCCTCTGTAACATCCTGACTCCTACGTCGTGCGCTTCCGTTCGATTTAAGGTCAATTTCGCTGTGACCTTTATAGGTGCTAAAGCTGATGTTGAGTCCGGAGTCGGAGTCAGATGACGTGTGATGTTGACTCAGGTTATCCTTGAGTGTGTTGTTTCGCCCGCGCTTGACCTTCAGGTTATTTTCCTGTCTGGGTCTCCGTATGATGGGTCGCTGGGAACGTTGTGGGTCCAATGTGTCCTTCAACTGTACTTTCTGTCCTTCAAGGACATGAACGAACTGGGGCGGGTTGGCTTTGCGAGAGTTGGCCTCAGCGGCCTTTTTCTTGTCAAGATACCTGAACCAAGATCCTGGTGGCATGGGATCTTTTTCTTTGGTTTCTTTACCATCCTTGTGTATCTTTGTCGACTTCGCCTTAACAGTGCTGGCATTGCTCGTGGATTTTAAAGTAGAAGGTCGTGTGCCGGGAGCTTCAGGGGGGATAATCCGTCCCTGGCGTACCCAGTACAACACACGGTCATACAGGAAGTTTAAACCCGTCTCCGCCATGTTGGTAAGGTCTACACTTCCACGAGGTACGTCTACAATACAAGTAAATAGTATGGTAGCAGTATACAGTAGAAATGGCCCGACTCTGATAAGCAAGGCACATGTCGAGGAAATGTAAACACAGCGGATTTATCCTACACAACACATGTATACATGTATATATATTTGTAAACTGCATTACATTTACAATACATATAAAGTACTGAGAAGTGTATAAACCTCTTTTTTCTATGTGGGTCACTTGTGTGAAAACCATGGTTACCACATCAAATATTACCAAACAATGCCAAAAATTGCTATTTTTGACCCAAAATTTGACCCCCGCAACTAGTAATTTTTTTCCTAAGTTCTGTCTGAGATTAAAGATTACCTACCTGGTTGCAGAATTATCTGGCTCCCAGTAAAGTTGTAAAATTTGATTTTTAGCAATTTTGCGTCGTGTGCTGTTGTCAACATTTTACCTCCTGTAAGGCTAGCTTTTCATGTGTAGGCACCCTTTCGGATTATGGCCAAAATTTTATCCTCGAACCAAAAAAAACTTCTTTTTTTTACAAATGTGAAGCTCACATAGCCCACTTGATCATGCTTATACCAATTTTAGTACAGTTTTTTTTTTTTTTTTTTTTACATATCATTATACAGGGGTTAGCCATTTAACAAAAATATCCCCCATGGCCACAACCTTCTACTGTATACTGCTACCTATGTATAAACGGAAAAAATCATGTCGTCATATCCGTTATATAAAGTAATTAAGTATCTTAACCAGTCTTCGTCATTCTGAGTTCAAACAATTTCAATCTATTAATAAATGCTTAATTGGTTGCAGCTTGCACTGGTGTCAGTGATTTTTAGTGGATTTGTCGTAAATCGTATTTTTATTTCGAAGAGACCTGTTTTTTTTAAATATTTGCGTTTGTCTGAATGTCTCTGTCATGCCACATCAACGTCTTCCTGTATAACATGTATTTATAGTTATTTTATTGTTTCTATATTACCATACTAGATTTAGCAGTTATACAAATTCCCTAATTACAAACCTGCCTGCTCCATGAGTTTCTCTAGGTACTTTTTATCGCTGTACATCTTCCCCAGCACCTCCTTTATCCGTTTCTCTGTTACATCCTGGTCATCCGTGACCTTGGGAGGTGTTGGCGAGGGTTGGTTTAAATGTTCGTTGGAGCCACGCCCCTGTTCCATGCGGACCAATGGGTTTTGTTGTCTCTGAGGGAAGGTGGGTGTTGGTGCATCTCTCTCAGATGAGTTAGCAATCGGGGAGAGCTTTGTTATGTTGTTCCGTCTTCTGATAGGATCCTTGCGGTTCTAAAATGCGAATTTAAATACCAAATGTCATTATATCTACATTGTAATCAATACGGGACAATAAACATATATAAAAATTAACCTTGAGGGAGTTTCTAGAGAAATATACCGACTATCGCTATAGAAATAGTCTTACCTTGGAGTTGTTCAGGAGCATAGACAAATCACCAGCTTGTGTTATATTCCTTCGTCGACCTGTTTAATGTAAATAATGAATACAAAAATAAGTAAATATGACACTGCATATCACAACCACAACACGCCCTTTAAAGACCATTCCTTTTTACATTTCTATAAATCCCCACCTTTTTTGAGGATACATGTTAAAATGAATGTTTTATTTAAACTCAATCGTCCAAAACAACAAGCCATTCAAGTACATTTCTTCGTTTTTATTTAAAATTATTCTCAGTTTTCCCTCCAAATTGTCAATAGAGTACATTTCGATTTTCTGATATGAAAACATCGACCATTATATGTACCAATATATTGATGACGTAAGTCTGACCACGATAATTACCTGATGTCGTCAGCCTTACTTACCTTCGACAGGTACTGAAAACATGGCTTCCCTGCGATTCATAAGTCATGATTATAGATTGAATTTTTGTTCTTTCGAAAAAAATCAGTCGTAAGATAAGAAATACATTTATTTTATCTGAGAAATGTCTTCACGTTAAATAACTCTAGAGATACCCATTATATCAATATGCTATCAAAAGATGATACCAGACCATTGAAGCTACCCCAGTAACGTGACATCTAATCAAATTGAGTTTTAATATGAGAGTTTCATTAGCTAGTATATAGCTACATACAGGTGAATAGTTGTCTCTACAGAATCAGTATCGATAGTTTAACTATCTTGCAAACAAACATGAATTAATGAGGATCACACAAAATGTTTAAAATCTGACCGGAAGTACCGCTGTTAAGGGCTTCCGAGGATTTGTCGACTCCCTCCTGGAACTTGCGTAGGTCCGGTCTCTGTCTATATCCTTTACCATAGTACACAAGCGCCGACTCATAGTTCCGTTCTGAGAATTGCAATTCCGCCTTTTGGTAAAGAGCCTGAAACAGTTAATCAGAAAATGGTGTGTTTGGTACAAAAATCTTCTTATTTTTCTCTTACACTTACTTTGTGACTGAATGGACACGTAAAATCTATATTTGGACGTGAAGATGTCTGCTGTAGTATACCACGTATCACATGTATACTTTTGTAAAGGATGACTAAACGTATATACCAGTTTTACACGTACATGTACACTATTGTAAGGTATTAGGACGTAACGTTTGTAAAGTAAGGTCTTTTCTCGTATACCATCTTTACGCGTATGTATATAAGGACGTAATGGAAGGTCTGCTACAGTTACTCACCTGTACTCACCTGTAACGTAAGTAACTGTACCTATAGTTCTCTGGAATCAACGTTATCTGAACTAACGTTTAGAGATGATACACTGTAAGTTGGAATATTAGGGAGAAATGTAGTTGTTGGAGTAGATCTAGTCAATCAATAGTTTATTTACTCATCACTTTCTTAGTTAACTTACTGTTTTGTAATCAGTATAGACTAGTTATCTTCCTCTGACGTCACTGTATCACTTACTGTCATCCACTTACATGCCATAGAGAGTTTGTTATATTGACCTGAGTATCGTTTGTTGCTAGATTTCTATTATCTGGACAATCGCAGGCATAAGACTATCATCTTTAAACATCGGAACGTGTTATAGGAGAAGGTGTAGATAAACAGTATAACTTGGACCTAATCATAAGTTCATGTTTGGGCAATTTTGTTTAAACTCTCATGTATTAAAAACAATTCCACAATGATTTTGACAGATAGTTCATATGTATTTTACATGAATGAAAATAAGCTGTTTTCACACGCCTATAGTATATACTATTAACACTGCCTCCTATACAGCTCAGGACAAGCAATACACCCATTTATACAGATATAGTCATGTTTAAATAAATTGTTTTCGATTCATTGGTTAAAACAAACTCTTTTGTTTTCAATATCACGACATTTTTTATACTGTGAGATATCTGATCACGTGATTGTAGCATTTTATGACTTTAATGCATAACGTCAAAAAACCTAAATCACCGTGTAACAATGTACAAAACCCCTCTCAGTTGTTCAGAGACACGGCAATGTGTGATGGCCGCAATTTCATTTCAGGTCAGGATCAGGCGGTATTCCAAATGTCATTTTTCTAAAGTTGGCTCCACAAAACATTAATATAAATAAAAAAATCTTTGTCGTCAAAACACCAGGCTTAATTCGATATGCGGTTTATTAGATATTTGGCGATTTTCCTGCGGCTCTATACATGCAAGTTAAAACTTAATCAGATTTTAGCAGGCATATACAATGTGTCCATGTATTAATTCGTGTCAAATAAAATTTGAAAAGAAAATGAAACTTAATTAGATTAAAATTATTTGAACATGACATTTCCTTTTGGAGACAAGCCCATATTTTGAGGTAACTATGTTTATTTGTTGCTTAAGGTCGTGGCGTGATCTAATGGAAAAAAAACCTACGCATTTCATTGTGGCCATAGAAATGAAAAAACAAATGCATCAAATGATCAATTATCAGACACCTGAGTAGATTTAATTAACAAGAAATTTACATACACTGTATTTCAGTAGAATATGCCGAATACCAGGCATCTATTGTTTCTCAGCCATACTATTTTGATGATGTAAAACATGTTAATATCAGTCAAACGATATGATTTGTTCCATTTAGATGATAAATCTAATTGAAATTTGCGAATTTCAGTTCATTAGGAAAGAAAAAAACATTATTTACAAAGCTGACGAATCTATCTAGCTTAAATTAATGACCATACTGTTAACAATTAAGAATGGCATTATAATAGTTTGTAAGATAATTGGAGACGGGAATACTGATGTGTGAATAGGGCAATACTTACTATCATTATCAAAGAATTTGAAACATTATTTATGAAACAATTCAGTTCGTGTATAACCTACATCGAACCTTCAGTCTTAGAATACAGTGACAACCGACAAAACATAGTATACAAGCCATTTTAGTAGATTTGGGTATTGGTGTTGTTTGACAGCTTCGTACATGTATTTTAACCTGATTCTATCAGCAAATTTGATTGTCGGCGATATCCTTGGTATACACGTACCATAGTCTTTACTCCTCCTAACTCGACCATTGACAGCAAACGCTCACGTGAGCACGAGCGCTTATCATGTTGACGATCTGGACAGTAAGAACAGGAGCCCCCTAGACGTCCAAGTACTCCGTGGTCGATACGTAATGTAATGTTTTATTTATTTATCAGCCTCATTTAGTTCAGAAGGTTTAACGATAACAGCTCTGACGACCAACGAACAATGGACCCTTTCTTCCCTTTATTGTGGAAAACGCAACAAGACGTAAGGATAATACATAAATTTCATGCAAAAACAGATTTGCATAAAACGGATGATAAAACGATAGAAATGTGGACATTTAACCTTTGTTATCAGCCCTTTGTTCAACAAACCGAGGTTTTTATCTAATTTAATTAAGCTATCTACCGTGTTTATTAACAGATACACGGTACACAAATCTTTATTAAGAAACAATGTCAGGGTTGAAAATAATGTAAACTATAATTTGCATGCTTACAAGTTTTAGCTTCGAAATGACGAGTCAAAATATGTTTGGATTTGAAGATCATATATGTACATGTAGTTGAAAATATGTTAATCTTAGTTTATCTAACCACTACATTGCTAATTTCCTTTTACCTATTAAGCAGCATACTAGTTTGGCTGTGTATTATACAGTAATAACATTTCGCCGAACGAAACACACAGCGTATGACATAACTATGTGCTGATATCGGGTATTTTGGCAAAAGCCCACTTGGTAAGGTTGTACATTTTGAAAGCTCTCCCGTTTCAATACAGCACAATTGTCCTACAAGCATGCCTCGCGGCGATTACGTTAATTACGGACGTATCTCCTTCCTACATAAATAACATATATCAGTACACTGTTTATTTTACTGCAGAGAACCAGTATATGGAAGGAGAAATACTGAATGTGCTTGGAATTGTATAAGACATTGCCAGATTGTTACAACATTTATTCATACTTTGTATTAATGTGATATAAAAATATAAATTTATTACCTCAAGACAGGTGGGATCCAGAGCTAAAGCTGAGTCCACATCTAACATCGCCTTCCGGTTCCGGCCCAGCAGCTGATTGCAGCGTGACCTGGCGACGAAAGTCTCCGTGTTGTCCGGAACAAGTTTCAGCGCCTGTAAATATAATGAATAACAGGATATCTGTTACTGAAAGTACTTAAAACATCATAGGAGCTTCAAAAATCCATTATGGTTGTGATATCGAGTCTTCAGCTACCTCAACATCAGTATCATGCTTTATGATAAAATCTGCTTCGATTTATGAAAGCGGAAAGTAATAAAACAAACTATAGTTCCTTTCAAACTATTTAAAATAACAGAAGCATAGATGAAACCGTGTCCTTCCTGCCGGGTACCACCGTTTTAACGTTGATATGCATACCTTGCGTTTCGCCGCCCCGGTGGCAGGGAACCGGCCCTCCATGAATATTATTTTCATTTTGAATATCCAATGTGTCCTCTACATCTAAGCAATAAATACACTGACATCCCTTTCAAATGTTCAAAACGTGTACACATCTAGTGACGCATCACAAAGTGTACGCTGACTTCTCTCTGCGGTGAAATCTTAATGTATACATGACCCGGTGCTTAGTCACTTACAGAAACAGTTCATGTTATGTTTCATAACTAAAGCGTCGTCCAATTCCGTATCGTTGAGATAAACAACGGGGATTTAGGTAAGATTTTGCATTAAGCCTTTCACCTGTATATGTATATGCGCTAATGCCGTGTAACGATATATTGTGTATAGTAAGTCCAAACTTAAAACCAGGTAATCCTTGGATTAGTTCAAACATAAATGTTCTATAGAGGTAAACACACTGATTATTATATTTTGTAACACAAGCATGTTTAACATTATTAATTGGTTACCTTTCCGGACTATAACGAGCATCACCACCGTCTAACTGTAACCCAACTTCAACATGCAATACTTTACAATGAAAAAATTGAGTCACTGATATTTTGAAGCTTTTAAGAAGACACATACTGTCCTGGGTTAAAACGGATAGTATTAGATAGGCAGTTTGTTATACTTTATTATAAAAAAATGTGAAAAGTATTAACTTCATATATGTACATTGGATGAAACTATCATAAAGAATTTTATGATAAAAGTGCTAAATTTGAACTTTGAATTAATATATCATTACATGTATATTCGTTATTTTGCGTATTTTAACCTACAAACTTTTATTTAATCTATACCATCGTGTGACATAAATATAATTAATATCCTGGAACTATTTGTGTAAATTGTTTGTATTTAACTTGTGTCATTTTAGATAAGTTCTATTTATGAAGCTATTCCTTTCAAGTCGACATGCGTCATTGTTGTCATATTAACTCATGCATTTACTTTGTCCATCTTATACCATATATCTTTCAACTTAATTATATTACGTAAGAGGATTAACTTGCATTCAGTCTCAGACAAAGGACAGCTAAATTGGCTTACCTGGTCAGGTACGGCCGAAGTCTGAAAGGCCGATTGCTATGAATGACAGATGTCACTCAAACTGATTACTTAATTGCTATATATTGTGTAAATGTACTTAGGACACGATTATGATTTGTAACTTCAGTTAGGAGCAAGGCATCGGACTGTACGGGTGTGTTTTTGGATACTCAGGAAATCACCCACCGACCTAGATAAAGTTATTCTAATAAATTTATATTTGGACCATACCACATCTCCAGAAACTTTTACTTTTCAAATTGTATAACAATACCCCACAAAAGTGTTGTTATAAAACTATCGATTCTAGATCTGGAGGGAACAGACTATATAATATTAAGACGTTTCCTTGTTAATTTCTCTTCGAGTTGCTATCTTCAATGGTATCAATCATACGATAAGTTGTCACACGACTTTGTGTTTATATTATATATACATATGCTTATAATTACAATAATAAATCATCTAAGTTATACAAAAAAGTTCAGTGACCTTTGGCGTCTGAAGTCCCCATAGCACTTGTAATATAATCTTATTATCAGTGGCTAACGGCTCGTGTATATTTAGACCACTTATTCTGAAAAGCCCTGTCCTTATCGATGCGGCAGTGGTATCTGCATCAACGATTCTGTACAACAACAAGAGTATAATACACAGAAAAAAACATGACCCCCGATTCGTGTCTAAACAGTGTCAGTACAACTTGAACAGCTTTTCCAGAGATCAAATCAGATATCAATGGATGTAAGAATACGCTGTCAGATGAGTTTCCATATCTAATATGAACATTGTTCGGTTGGGTAATTATTCATCATATTTTGAATAAGTATTCAAATAAATGGTCCTAGTGGGGGATTAGGTACGAGTTAAGTACGGTAAGTAAAAAATTATGAAACGCTGCTTACTTTTGGCGGTCAAACGTATTTCAATATTCTTCATGGTACCCTATCTAAGCTTGATTTATTTAGTTTTTTCTTTATTTTCTGTTTACAATTATAGTTATCTTTGGTCTATCCGGCATATACCTGTGACGTATTGTTATCTATGTCTTAGTTTGGGGTCTGAATTTGACGAGAGACACGACTAACGCCAGGTAGAGCGCCTGGTTGATGATGTCTCTGCTTCAGGTGTTTATACTGGTTAGACTTGTTCATTATTTCGACAACGGTAGTCACAGCATGTTACAGGAAAAACCGAATATGTTTTAATGTTTGAACCGTTCGTTACTGATGCGTGGAAGATACGGATTACGCTTCAATAGTTTTTGTCTTTTGAATTCGTTGGCGACGAATATCAGAAGAGAAACAATAGGACGGAAAGCTATAGAAAAAAAGTAAAGGATAAATATATAAGTATTGTAACGATGGCTGCAACGTATTGTTTTTGTATCTGTCCTATCCAAATATTGTCATGGTGAGTGTAACTCATTGTTAATGGTGTGTCTGATCACGAATATCATTATGGTAATATGGCGTTGTTCTTCTGTATGTTGTTGGAGTTTCCGATATGCCCTCAACAGAGAACAAAGATTGCAGCTCTGGTAATGTATGGAGAAAAAAACATATCGGTGTGTCAGTTTTTGTAACTTAGGTAGAATAGACAATAATGCCATTATTGTACTGCTTGTGTTCTACGTAAACCTTCATGCTGTTTTTAGAAATATAATCACAACATCATATAAATAACTGGAAAGACATAACCGTATCTTGCGTCGCATCTTTAAAGGTGTGTTTTTTCGTAGGCATGGGTGTTTAAAATATTTGCAAATTATTGCAATGCACCATTCGGAAGCATTAACAAAACCGCGTTAAATGAACTCCGGTATAAAAAATGCAAAAAAGCCGCATTTTTGTAGATAGTTGGTGTAGTCATGACAACCAACAATCTCCCCACACGGAATGCTAGCGGTTATATTGATATCATAGTGAACATTTAAATGACACCGTCTAGAGGCGACACACTGGTGAATTGTTTGTAGTAGCCACAATATGGGCGGTAAATGGCATGCGTTTTATATCAATCCAATTTATCAGATCCGATATTAATGACAGGTCAAACAGGGGTCAAACCGATATCATGTCATGACGTAACTTCCGTTACGGAGTATCATGTAACCGTATATCAGTTAATGTATACCCCCTGTAAATCATTAGGAAGACCCGAATGTTAAAGCCTGATTAGCTTCACATCAAATTAACACGAGCCAAAATATTTCTAACGGGTACATTTTTAAGATCATGAACACATACCAATATTTTTGAATAAATAAAAATTGAATATTAATATCTGAAATCGAAATAATAATAATAAATACTGTTTGTGATGAGCTGTAATGAGAGTCTACCAATTGACACCTTCCCCGTTTGATAAAGTAAAAATCAACAGAAATTGACATACAATTCTCCTCGTGTTACGTTTTGATAAGGTCGGATATATTCTATACATATAATTATATATGCTTATTGTTTTAAATACATAATGTATTTCTTCCTTGCATTTTACTTGCTAGAGGCGATCTAGATACAGTCATTCTTATATACGTACTATTGAAAAATGATCACATTTTTATGGGATTTATTGGGATATATATTAATTTGAATATGTCAGCGATGTGGGCCTCGACAATTACAGGTCATAGGCATTATGGTGATAAAACAATGTTGTGTACCCGAGTAACGTTCCCTTTGTTTGTTTGTACCCGATGTTTTGATTTATCATTGGATAGAATGCTGTCGTCTTATTCTTAATGTTTTAGAAATGGTGCAGACCACCCGAACAGATGACAGATAAAGAGGTTGCATCGTTACTTTCACAGGAGAGTCTAACACCGTCTATGTTTATATTTAATTATGTGACTTTACTTGTGTTTGTTATTTGTAGTTGACGAATTAAAAACCTTGCAATTAAGTATCATGAGTACACTTTCGTAAAACTAAAATGGAAATAATAACTTGTACTGCTGGTGACATTATTTAGGATATGACATAAAGTCGTAACGGTATATTCGTTATATACGTTATATTTGGAGCCACAAAGTACCGAACTATAGACAGATGTATTGTCAACATGTTTTACAGTTATTAGACATGGGTAGTCGGTGAAATCCTCTTGATTTATAGTATAAAGTGCGATTAACTTAACGACTTATTTGGCAATTCCAGTCTTGATCCAGTTTCTATGTCATCGGCAAAGCAGAGGACGCTTACCCTTCCGTAACATTTAGTGTAATTATCCTTGTAATTTTTAAAGGGTATTCGTGTTAATGGTTCGAGTTAGAATTACGGGTTTGCTGAAAATCCGGGTTTTTTTTTTATTCAATAGTGATCAGCATGGGGTGTTAATTTATATTTAATTTAATTGAACACAAGATATACGAAATTTAGCGACCACAATTATGCATATTTAGGCATTTCCCTTCAGGATGTCGGAGTTCAAAATCGTAAAGAGTTTTAAAAGTGTAAGATTATAGCAAGATACATATCCAAACAACTGGAAGTATAAATCAGAGATCTATGTGCTGAAGCCGCCTAGATAGTATAATTTTAAAATTCAGACATTGCATCAAAGGTAAAATAGGATTTCCACATAAGTCGTTATTTATGTTCATCACACTTGATACAATATAACCAAGAGGATTTGTTCGACTACCAAC